TTGAAGGGAAAATTGGGATATGTATTTTACCTCAGGACACATTGAATGACTCCCAACAGCAGCAGCAAACTGTTTAGAATGTTAGAGGCAAAGGCCAATTAGGCCACATATGCAAATGACATGTGTTCCGACTGGCTAATGGGGGGAGAGGAACGGCAAGCTGTTTAGAATATTGGAGGCGTGACTCAGGCAACACAGCCAGTGGATAGGGACAGCTTCTGAGTGTCAGATCAGGGTGTCAACTGATTTGGGAGCATGTGGAATGTTCAGGAGAGTCCATGACCAAAACAGAATTATTATAGAGAGATATGACGGTTTTTACAGCCCTTGGCTGTGCTGTTTGGCACTCACTGTCCCTTGACCTACAAATGGTTTCTTCTTAGAGACCTTCACCAACAGCTGAAAAGACTTTTTTCCCTCCTCTGTAATGAACATTGGTCCTTGAAGACATGACTTTATCATGGTTTTCCCATTTCACCAGGCTTTGTAACTCTCTCTCATTGAAGTGATTTTCCTAAGCACTCAGGGTAGTCTTGTGGGCATTTGGACTCCTTAAAAGGGGGCATTTACTTAATGGAGAATTTTACTCTATGGAGGGAAGGATTAGTCCTTCCCTTCCTGCCCCGAATCCTGATGACTTGGGAATGGCCTTTGCCCATTCTGGAGGGAAAGTGTCATCAGTCTCAAGTGAGGGGGCAATGACTTTGGGCCAAGGAAAGTAGTTGAACTAGGTACCAAGGTAGTTGTGTTAGGGAATTTCTTGTTATTTTCTTGCTAGGCTTCCCTGTACTGTTAGCCCAAGGGAATATTTTTCTGTAACCAAAGTTCAGGCAAACTGTTCATTGTTTTGAGAACTGCAAGTTATTAACCACTGTTGCACTTTTTGTTTTGCCTTAAATGCAATCCTTTAATAAAAGTTTTTTTTAACTCTGCTAGGATTTTTTTCCTTCTCAGGCTTGGTCCCATATCTAGGCAGCATCCCCCCCCCCAATAGAAGGAGGCAATAGCCTAGGAAGTAGGTTCAGGACAGACAAAAGGAAATACTACTGTGCACAGAGTGATTAAGATGTGGAATTTGCTGCCAGAGGATGTAGTGATAGCCACAGGAATGAACAGCTTTAAAAGAAGATTAGATAGATTCATGGAGGGAACCTCCACATTCAGAGGCACTAATCCCCTGAATCCCAGAGCCAGGAGGTAACATCAGGGGAATGCTTCAGCCTCTATGCCCTGTTGTTGGCTCTCCAGAGGAACTGGTTGGCCATGGTGTGAGACAGGATGCTGGACTAGGTGGACCATTGGTCTGATTCAATAGAGCTCTTTGTGTGTTAGAATCATAGAATTGTTAGAGTTGGAAGGGACTTTGCAGGTCATCTAGTCCAACCCCCTGCATTCTGCAGGAGCATAGCTGAAAGATAGCCCTACAACATACCTGAAAGATGGTTGTCCAGCCTCCGCTTGAAAACGTCCAGCGAAGGAGCATCCACCACCTCCCGAGGCAGACTGTTCCACTGCTCAACCACTCTTACAGTTAGGAAGTTTCTCCTGATATTTAGCCGGTAACGACTCCCTTGTAATTTCCACCCATTAGATCTAGTCTTGCAATCCAGAGCAAGAAAGAATAGATCTGCTCCATATTCTACATGACAGCCCTTCAAATACTTGAAGACTGCAATCATGTCCCCTCTAAGCCTTCTCTTTCCCAGGCTAAACATACCCAACTCTTTCAGCCGTTCCTCATAAGACTTGGATTCCAACCCTCTCACCATCCTGGTTTGCTCTCTTCTGGACACGCTCAAGCTTGTCAACATCCTTCCTAAAATGTGGTGCCCAAAGCTGGACACAGTACTCCAGGTGAGGCCTGACCATAGCAGAATAGAGTGGAACTAGCACCTGTCTTGATCTGGACACAATGTGTATGTTAATGCATCCTAAGATTGCATTAGCTTTCTTCACAGCCACAGCGTACTGCAGGCTCATGTTTAGCTTGTGATCAACCAGAACACCTAGATCCCTTTCACATGTGCTGCTGTCAAGCCAAGTCCCTCCCATTCTATATCTGTGCCTTTGATTTTTTATACCTAAGTGCAGGACTTTGCACTTCTCTCTATTGAAATTCATTTTATTTGTCTCAGCCCACTGTTCCAGCCTATCTAGATCATTTTGAATCCTGACTCTGTCTTCTTCGGAATTAGCAATCTCACCTAATTTTGTGTCATCTGCAAATTTGATAAGCATCCCCTCTATGTCTTCCTCCAGGTCATTTATAAAAACATTGAACACCGGGCCTAGGACCGAGCCCTGTGGCACTCCACGTAGACGCAGAGCCATTTACAAGCACTCGTTGGGTACAATTTTAATCCATCCAAGGGTTGCACCATCCAGCCCACACTTAACCAGTTTATCCTCAAGGATATCATGAGAAACTTTGTCAAATGCTTTACTGTTCTTAAGTAGAAGGGGTACTGTAGGTCCTCTCCAAGTTATAGTAAAATCCCTGACCTACTTCAAAGGTTAATGTGGTAGGAGAAAGAGAGGGGGAAGGGTGAGGGTTTGTCCGCTGCTCAAGAACCGTGCTTCAGCTGGGAACCCCTCCTCCCATTTAAGTGCATTCTGCTTCTCTAACATCTCAGAAGACTGCCTTTAGTTAAACTTTGTCCCCAGTGCTTGTAAGTTTTTTACAGCTGTTGTCTAGTTTTTACTGTTTGGTTTGGGTTTTTAATAATTTAATATTGTAAGCTGTCTTGAGCATTTATTTTTAAATAGAAAGATGGGGTATAAATATTGTAATAACAATGAAGTGTTGCTGTCCTGACCTGGATAGCCCAGGGAGACTCCAAGGAAGTCCAGGGTTGCTATGCAGAGGTAGGCAATGGCAAACCAACTCTGAACATCTCTTGCCTTGAAAACTCTAGAGGATTGTCATTGCAATAGATAAAGTGTTATTATTACATACAATTCCAAGAACTGATCTGGAACTTTTAAAGTTTCCTTTGGGGATGATCTGCAGTGGAAAATGGACTGGGAAAACTCTCATTGATTTGTCCATGACTTTTGGTGGCATCTATCATGGTACCTGTCTGGGCCACCATGGTAGGCTGGGACTATCTTTGTTGCTCACAGCCTTATGAAGCTACCGGGAGAGGCTGTTTAAGGATATGGAATGTCTCCCTCTTCCACCCTCCACCTAATTCTAGGAAGGCAGTGGAGACACTGAATCCATGTCTGGGTTATGTTATAGACTGGATGGGATTATGTTGTTGCTCTTCTGAATTTTCAGAAACTTTGCATATAGTATAAATATACCATCAGGGCTCCATGTTGATAGTCCTTTTTAAAAATGTAATCAATGTCCCATTGATCCTCCTGGGAATTCTGATGAAGCATGAAACCAATCCTAGGCATATTCCATTGTAATTTATAGGGCTCCCCCCACCCCCAGTGACATGTTTAGTACAATTGTGTCTTGTACAGCACTCAAAGTTTGTTTCTTGAGATAGGTTTCAGCTCTTTTTCTTTCCTGTCATAATAAAAGTTATGCTGGCCCCGGTGAGACGTGCCGGAAAATGCGGGGGGGGGGGAGCGCGGCTATTTGCACCGTCACATTCGGATGCGCTATTATGCTATCAGATGCAATGGTGGCTTCCCCGCAGCACAGGACAACGGGGGAGGAAGCCACGCGCCGGCGCAATCACACCGGGAGGCTTCCATAGGTGGCCCATGGCAAAGCGTTTGCCACTACATGCAGTGAGGTGGTTTTTTACTGCACGGCTTCGGCGGCTTGCCACGGGTTCGCCACGGGAGTGCTACGCCTCCCAGATGTTCCCGTGTGATCGCGCCCGGATACTCCGCAGGACTCCCGTGCCTTCAGCAGGGCAAATGTTCTGTGTGAACAGGGCCAATGTTAGCTTGACTTTAGAATACTACCGTTAAGTAATTTGCTTGGATTTTTGAATACTTCAAACACACAGCTCTGCCTTTAGTCTGTTTTGAGATGTCATGTGGTTTTTGCAAAATGTCTTGCACACTTTTAAAAGAAAATATGCTTCCTTGCTGTCAAATAACCTCTGAACCATTTTAGGGATCAAGCCAGCAATAAACTGTCATCTCTGACCCTATCTGTGAATCATATCTGGGGAGTTGCGATTGCTGGTTGTGACTTGTCAGTAGCTTGACAGGATTTCCCCACAATTTTGTTCCAGGTGAAAGTACACTACTAAAGGGGGGGGGGAGTGAGTGAGGGCAAACTTCTTCACTTAATATGAACTACAATGCAAATAGTGTTGCTAGTTTACCAAGTAGGAGGGGAAACTGTATGCATATGCGTATGTGTGTAAAGGGGGGGGCTAAATTCACAGAACATTCCCCAGTCAGTGTTCCATTTCTGGATACCCACATACACATGGCCTGCTTCTCTTAGCATCAATCTGCTTTTGTAGTAAATGAAATTGTTCCCGTACCCCATCCTCCTTTTGAAATAAAGGGGGTAAAGTATTGGGAAGTGTTAACAGGAGCTGGTTGAAGCACCAGTGCCACAGCGGTAGCTTAAAGTTAAGGAAGGATTTGTGGCATCTGGAAATGTTTCTGGAAATGAACTTCAAAGGGGGGGGAAGGGAAATTGGTGATTCCAGTGGGTACTAACTTCAGGGCGGTTTGTGGCAGTGCAGGGCTTGCAGAGTCCCGTATGGCCTGAGGGGGAGATGCCTGTTTGAAAAC